GAGAGAGAGAGAGAGAGAGAGAGAGAGAGAGAGAGAGAGAGAGAGAGAGAGAGAGAGAGAGAGGGATTCGTGACATTTGGATTTCTCAACATGTAAATAGACACGACATTTTTTTCAGATCATTCTCCTCCTCCTCCTCCTCCCCCTCCTCCTCCTCCTCCCCCTCTTCTTCTTCTTCTTCTTCTTCTTCTTTTATTTCTTCTTCTTCTTCTTCTCACTCTTCTCGCAGCGCGCACACGTGCGCACGCACAGGCAAAGAGATAGATAGATAGAGAGAGAGAGAGATAGAGAGATAGAGAGATAGAGATAGAGAGAGAGAGAGAGAGAGATTCATCACATTTCGATTTCTCAACATGTAAATAGACACGACATTTTTTTCAGATCATTCTCATCTGCTTCCTCCTACTCATCTCATTCCCTTCCTCCTCATCCGTGTATGATCAACTTGACGCTTTCTTCCTGTGTGCAGCGTCAGACCCCTCACACTATGCAAAGATGATGGTGTTCCTTCCATGTTCATTTCAACATCGACACGTGTGTGTGTGTGTATGTGGCCGCAAAGGTGTACCGGATTGATTAAGTCAGTGTGTGTGTTTGTTTCTGTGCTGATCGATTAGTTAATTGATTGGTTACTCTCTCAATCAATCAATCAATCAATCAATCAATCGATTAATGACTGTAAGGGTATGAAAGGACATTGTAGATGAGTAGAGTGTGCACGTATGTGTGCGTGAGTGTTGGCGCAACTCAGCCATAGCGATGGTTATAGGATTAGTCGCATCTTGGTCACCACTCTGTCCTCTTTCTTTCTCTATCTCTGTTTATCTCTCTCTCTCTCAATCTACCAATCAATCAGTAAGGCGCGTGGCTGAAGCGGAGGTGGAAGCGAAACCGGGGGCGGAAGCGTTTTTTTTTTTATAATTTTTTTTTTTTTTAATTTCAATCAATCAACCAATCTTGATTTATTGATTGATTGATTGATTGAGTCGGGTCCCACGTGTTCGCGATAGCAGTAACGTTTTTTTTTTTTTCAAACAATCAATCAATCAATCAACCAATAAACCGAAGTTGATTGGTTGATTGGTTGATTGGTTGATTCATTGATCGATTCATTGGAAGCGGGTGGCGGAAGCGGAGGTGGAAGCGCAAGCGGGGGCGGAAGCGGGTTTTTTTATAAGTTAATTCAATCAATCAATCAATTAATCAATCAATGATCGCTTGATTGATTGATTGATTGATTGATCGATTGATTGATCGATTGATTGAAAGTAGGGAAGACAGAGGTGTGAACGCAGTGGGACGGGTGAACGTCGGAGGTGGTGAGCCCCCGTCTTTTTCCTTTTTTTCTTATTATAATTTTATTTTTTCAATCAGTTAATCAATCAATCACGTCGGGTGCCGTCTCGACGTGTTCACGATCGCAGTAACTTTTTTTTTTCTTTTCGATCAATCAATCAATCAATCAATCAATGAACCGAAGTTGATTGGTTGATTGATTGGTTGATTGATTGATTGATTGGAACCGGGGGTGGAAGGGGGAGGTGGCGGAAGCGGAGGTGGAATCGGAACTGGGGGCGGAAGCGATTTTTTTTTAATAAGTTTTTTTTGTTAATTTCAATCAATCAATCAACCAATCTTGATTGATTGATTGATTGATTGATTGATTGATTGAGTCGGGCCGGGTGCCGTCCCCACGTGTTCATGATAGCAGTAACTTTTTTTTTTTTTTTTCAAGCAATCAATCAATCAATCAACCAATGAACTGAAGTTGATTGGTTGATTGGTTGATTGGTTGATTCATTGATTGATTCATTGGAAGCGGGTGGCGGAAGCGGCGGTGGAAGCGCAAGCGGGGGCGGAAGCGGGTTTTGTTTAATAAGTTTTTTTTTTTTAATTTCAATCAATCAATCAATCAATCAATCAATCAATCAATCAATGATCGCTTGATTGATTGATTGATTAATCGATAAATTGAAAGCGGAGAATACAGAGGTGTGAACGCAAGGGGACGGGTGAACGTCGGAGGTGGGGAGCCCCCATCCTTTTTCCTTTTTTCTTATTATAATTTTATTTTTTCAATCAATCAATCAATCAATCACGTCGGGTGCTGTCCCGACGTGTTCACGATCGCAGTAACTTTTTTTTTTTTTTTTTCTTCAAGCAATCAATCAATCAATCAATCAATGAACCGAAGTTGATTGGTTGATTGATTGATTGATTGATTGGAAGCGGGGGTGGAAGGGGGAGGTGGCAGAAGCGGAGGTGGAAGCGGAAGCGGGAGCGGAAGCGGTGTTTTTTTTTATAAGTTTTTTTTGTTAATTTCAGTCAATCAATCAATCAATCAATCAAAAAACGAATCTTGATTGATTGATTGATTGATTGATTGATTGAGTCGGGTCAGGTGCCGTCCCCACGTGTTCGCGATAGCAGTAACTTTTTTTTTTTTTTTCAAGGGGTTTTTTATAAGTTTTTTTTGTTAATTTCAATCAATTGATTGAGTCGGATCAGGTGCCGTCCCCACGTGTTCGCGATAGCAGTAACTTTTTTTTTTTTTTTTTAAGTAATCAATCAATCAACCAATGAACCGAAGTTGATTGGTTGATTCCTTGATTCATTGATTGATTCATTGAAAGCGGGTGGCGGAAGCGAAGGTGGAGGCGCAAGCGGGGTCGAAAGCGTTTTTTTTTTTTAATAACTTTTTTTGTTAATTTTAATCAATCAATCAATCAATCAATCAATCAATCGATGATCGCTTGATTGATTGATTGATTGATCGATTGATTGAGAGCGGAGAAGACAGAGGTCGGCGGACGTCGGCGGAGGCGGGCGGAGGTGGAGTGGAGGTCGGCAGAGGTCGGCAGAGGTCAGCGGAGGTGGAGCGGAGGTGGGCGGAGTTGGGCGGAGGTCGACGGAGGTGGAGAGGAGGTTGGCGGAGGTGGGCGGAGGTCGGCGGAGGTGGGCGGAAGTTGGCGGAGGTGGAGCGGAGGTGGGCGGAGGTCGGCGGAGGTGGAGCAAAGGTGGGCGGAGGTGGGCGAAGGTCGGCGGAGGTGGGCGGAGGCGGGCGGAGGGGATCGGGAAGCGGAAGTGGAGGTAGCGGACTTGCCATGTGGCGAACTTGCCACATGGCGATCTTCGTACGTGGGAGGGGGAAGCAGCGGAGGGGCCGGGGAATCTCTCTCTCTCTCGGAGGGAACCACGATGATCCTTCGACCCCCCTTTCAATCAATCGGGCCGAGGTGGGCGTAGAGGAGGTGGCCGCATGGACCGCGGATGGGCCGATGTGTGCGGAGGTGGGCGGAGGTGGGCAGGTGGAGCGAAGGTGGGCGGAGGTGGGTGAAGGTCGGCGAAGGTGGGCGGAGAGGGGATCGGGATCGCGATCGGGAAGTGGAAGCGGAGGTAGTGAACTTGCCACGTGGTGATCTTCACACGTGGGAGGGGGAAGTGGTGAACTTCCCACGTGACAATCTTGCCACGTGACGATCTTGTCACGTGGGAGGGGGAGGTGGCGAGCTTGCCACTTGGCGAACTTGCCACGTGGCGATCTTGTCATGTGGGAGCGGGGGGTAGCGAGCGGAAGCGGAAGCGGGGGGAAAGCGCAAGCAAGGGGGGAAGCCGGGGGAAAAAGAAGAAGAAGAGGAAAAAGAAGATGAAGAAGAAGAAGAAGGCGGACACAGAGCCGACGACGCAGGCGCACGTGGAGCCGAAGGCTACGTGGTGGAGGTGGAGAAGCCGAGAGTGTCGAGGTCAGGGTCGAGGTCCACATCTCTCTCTCTCTCTCTCTCTCTCTCTCTCTCTCTCTCTCTCTCTCTCTCTC